GAGTCAGAAAACAAATATGTATACATAATGTTTGATAACACCTTCCTAACTAGTAAAAATACCAAAATATTCCTAGAAACACCAACTAAAATTAAATTCTTTTCCAATTTTGTTCTTTTTCAAAATTGTATTGGTTCTTCTTGGTCATTTGAACTCCCATATAAATATTAGACTCATCCTGTCAATTTCTTTTTTAAAAAAGGGGATTTTAGTAGGGATCACCTTGAATCGGTAAATTTGATGAATATTGCCATCTTAAGTCTTCTGATCTATACATATGGATGTCTTTCCATTTATTTATATCTAATTTCTTTCAACAGTGTTTTATAGTTTTCAGAGTATAAGTTTTTCACTTGTCAAATTTATTCCTAAGTATTTTTTCTTTGTGATGATAATATAAATGAAATTTTTTTTTAATTTCATTTTTGGATTGTTCATTGATGGTATATAGAAACATTTGATTTTTTCATTGTATTTTATTGTTTATACTATAACAATTGTCCCAGTTGCACCCCTCTACCCCTCCCCTCCCCAACTCCTCAGGCAGTCCCCACACTGTTATCCATGTCCATGAGTCATGCATATATATTTTTTGGCTACTGTATGCTGTACTTTACATCCCCATGACTATTCTGTAACTACCAATTTGTACTTCTTAATCCATCACTTTTTTCACCCATCCACTCAACCTCCCTCCCATCTGGCAACCATCAAAACATTCTCTGTATCTATAATTCTGTTTCTGTTCTGCTTGTTTATTTTGTTTTTTAGAATCAGTTGTTGACAAATAGGTATTTATTGCCATTTTATTGTTCACAGTTTTGATCTTCCTTTTTTCCTTAAAAAAGACCCTTAGCAGTTCATATAATATTGGTTTGGTGGTGATAAACTCCTTTAGCTTTTTCTTTTCTGGGATGCTCTTTATCTGGTCTTCGATTCTAAATGATAGCTTTACTTGGTAGAGTAATCTTGGTTGTAGGTCCTTGCTTTCCAACACTCTGAATATTTCTTGCCAACCCCTTTTAGCCTGCAAACTTTCTTTTGAAAAATCAGCTGACAGTCTTATGGGAACTCCACTGAAGGTAACTAATTGCTTTTCTTTTGCTGCTTTCAAGATTCTATATCTTTAACCTCTGGCATTTTAATTATGATGTGTCTTAGAGTGCACCTCTTTGGCTTCATCTTGTGCTTCCTGGACTTGTAGGTCTATTTCCTTCTCTAAGTTAGGGATGTTTTCTGCCATTATTTTTTCCAAGTAGTTTCCAATTTCTTGCTCTCTCTCCTCCTTCTGGCACCCCTGTGGAATGAATGTCAGTATGCTTGAAGTTGTCCCAGAGTCTCCTTACACTATCTTCAGTTTTGTTTATTCTTTTTCCTTCTTACTATTCTGATTAGTTGGTTTTGCTTCCTTATATTCCAAGTCATTGATTTGATTCTTCGCTTCATCCACTCTACTGTTAATTCCCTATACATTGCTCTTTATTTCAATTAGTGGATTTCTGACTGGTTTTTATGCTGTTAAGGTCCTCACGAAGTTCCTTGAGCATTTTTATAACCAATGTTTTGAACTCTGCATCTCGTAGATTGCTTGTCTCCACTTTGTTTAGGTTGGTTTTTTTTTCTGGTGTTTTGATCTCTTCTTTCATACAGGTCTTGTCTCTTGTTTCCTCATTTTGGCAGCCTCCCTACATTTGTTTCTATGTATTAAGCAGAGCTGCTACATCTCCCAGGCTTGGTAGAGTGGTCTACTATAGTAGGTGTCCTGCAGAGTCCAGTGGCACACACTCCCCTGTTACCCAACCTGGGTACCCAAGGTGTGCTACCATGTGGGCATGTGCACTCTCCTGTTGTAGTTGAGCCTCGATTGCTGTTGGCACATCCAAGGTCAGCTACCACCTATATATTGTTCAGGATCACACACCATAAGCTACAAAGCAATCTGCAGATGGCAGCTACTTGTACTGTTCTTGGAGGTGCCAATGTGAGGTCAAGCTGTGAACCAAAGCTGGCTGCTGCAAGTGCTGGGCCTAGGCAAATTAGCAAGAGGTAGGGGTTTACCAAAGCCAGATACTGCTTGTTGGAGAGAATTTAGGAAAATCTGAGGCATGGGCCAAGACAAGCCATTCATATGGAAAGCCACTGGAAACAGCTTGGGTGGACCTGATAGTTGGGTGGGGTAGGGCCTCAGGAAACCACAGGGTGCAGAAACAGTGTGAGCCAGGTTGATGGAGTCTCAGATATGGCACTCACCTGCCAGCTCTGTGTCTCTGTGCAGAGAGAGCTCACAAAAGGAACAGTGACCTCTGCCAGCACTTCTGTCTGGGAGAAAGCTGCTCCCCAGCTCTCGCTCTGATGCTGGACAATTCAGTTCCTCCCTATATGTCCCGATGCCTTTCAACCTGCTGCCCCTATGCTGGAGCTCAAAGGGAGTGAGTGTGACTAAATCTGCGCACAAACCCTTTGAGAGGAACTGCCTGAGACTCCAGCAGGTTCTGTCTTCCACAGCCTGAAACCCTGCTGGGTTTTATAGCCAGAAGTTATGGAGACTTATCTTCCTGGTTCTGGAACCCTGGGCTGCGGAGTTTAGTGTAGGGCTGGGACCCCTCACTCCTGAGATATCCCTCCCAATTTTTATCTGCCACACATGGGTGTGGGACCAGCCCATTTCCCATCTCTGCCCCTCCTACCAGTCTTAGTGTGGTTTCTTTTCTAATTCTGTAGTTGTAGGGTTCCATTCAGCTCAATTTTTGACAGTTCCGAATGATGATTGTTCTGTTGCTTGGTTGTGATTTTGATGTGGTTGTGCAGGGGAGCCAGCCATGTTTATCTATGCTGCCATCATGACCAGGAACACATTTGATTTTTGTATATTGATCTTCTACCCTGAAACCTTGCTGAAATCATTTCTTATTTCTAATTTTTCAGAAGATTCCTTAGGACATTTTATATACAATGTTATATAATCTACAAATATAGTTTTACTTCTTCCTTTCCAACATGAATGCCTCTGATTTCTCTTTCTCCCCTAATTTCCATGGCTGGACCCTCTAGTCCAATGTTGAATAGAAGTGGCAAGAGCAGACATCCTTGCTTTGTTCCTCTTCTTAGGGGGAAAACAGTTAGTGTTTCACCATCAAGTTTATTAGCTGTGGGTTTTTTCACAGATGCCCTTTATCAGGTCAAAGAATTTCCTTTCTGTACATAGTTTGTTGAATAGTTTTATCATGAGTATTGATTTTTGTCAAATCAAAGTGCTTTTTCTGTGAGTACTGAGATGACCAAGTGGTTTTTGTCCTTTATTCTACTGATATGCTATGTGTTATAGGCAGAATAATGCCCCTACACAGACATGTCCATGTTCTAATGCCCAGAACCTGTGTGTGTTATGCTATATAAGGTTGCAGGTGGAATTTAAAAGTTGCTTATCAGTTGACCTTAAAATAGGGAAATTATTCCTATTTACCTAGGTGGGCGCAATATAATCATGAGTCCTTAAAAGTACAGGAGGAAGGCAGAAGAAGGAGAATCCTAGAGGTGAGAGCATGAAAAGGATTCTCTCCAGCACTGTTCACTTTGAATATGGAGGAATGGAAGGAATGTGGCGGCCTCGGGGAGCTGGGCAAGTCCAGGAGCTGGGTTCTCCCCTAGAGCCTCCAAACAGGAATGCTGGACCTGCTAAAACCTGATTTTAGCCCCGTGAGACCCATTTTAGAATTTTGACCTCCAAAACTCTAAGATAATAAATCTGCATTGTTTTAAGCCATTAAGGTTGTGGTAATTTATTACAACTGCAATAGGAAACTAATACAGTGTATTATGTTAATAAATTTTCAGATGTTACATCAGTCTTGCATTCCTAAGTCCCATTTGATCATGGCATATAATTCTTTTTATATGTTGCTAGATTTGGTTTGCTAGTATTTTGTTGAAAATTTTTGAGTACCTATTCATAAGAGATACTGGTCTGTAGTTGTGCATGTGTGTGTGCTGTCTTTGCCTGGCTTTGGTGTCAGAGTAATACTGGCCTCATGGAATGGTTGGGAAGTGTTATTTCCTCTACTACAAGTATAGCCACTCTAGCTTTGTTATAGTTGCTGTTTGCATGATACATCTGTCCATCCTTTTACATTCAACCTATTAGAAACCTGTCTTTAATCTAGATTTCCTATATAATAGATTTTCAGTTGTTCTGTTCTAGTAACTGCTCTCTCCCCTAACCTTTTTGGGCATGTTGCAGCTTCCCAAGGTGCTCTACCATGCCTGCTGGCTTTCTTTCATTCTGCCCACTCCTTTGTAAATAGATGTTTCATTAAACCCTGTTCAAACACCACTGTAGTGTGTCATCTATGTCCTGACAGGAGCCTGGGAAAAACTATACACAGGTTAATGATGAAATTACTCTGTTACTCTTTGGCAAAATTACAGAGAAAACAATATGTCTGTTTTTTAAAAGTATTACCATGGTCCTGACTGGTGTGGGTCTGTGGGATGGGAGTCATTCGGCAAACCAAAAGGTCAGGGGTTCAGTTCCTCGTTAGGGCACATGCCTGGGTTGCGGGCCGTCCCCAGTTGGGGGTATACAAGAGGCAACCAATCATTTTTACTTTCACACGTCCATGTTTTTCTCCCTTTCTCCCTCCCTCCCTCCTCTCTAAAAATAAATAAATTTAAAAAATAAAAATATTACTATGATATGTGCACTGCAGCTAATAGTGGCAGGGATTACCATTAATTAAATGTATTTTTAGTTGTATACTATTCTTTTTTTATTGTATTTTTACTGTTTACGCTATTATAGTTGTCCCTGCTTTTTCTCCCTTTGCCCACCTCCACCCAGCTTGTTTCCCCTCTCTCAGGAGTTGTATACTGTCTCCTCACTTAATCCTTTAAATAACTCTATTAGATATAATAGTTATCGTCATCCCCAGTTTATGCATGAGGACACATGAAGTATCTCTGATTATTGTGAATTAATGTATTGTCCCTATTTCCTTTTGTAGATCATTCACGAGAAGTCTTGGAGCAGTTAGGAGGCCCAAGCAAATTAAAGCAAGTGACATGGACTGTTTATTGATGCTTATCAAAGCTATGCTCTCCATACTATCAGGAAATGGTGGTCTTGGAGGTTGACTTTCCAACACGTAGTATGGTTTGTGATTTACCAGACTCTTAAACGCTTTAATAGTGCTATTATTCTGTGTTTGCTTGATGAGTTATTGTTTTTGAATGGTAACCCTAGCATGCCTTCTGATGGGTTTGGGGGGGTGGGGGGTGAGGGCACAGTGTTTGTTTCTTAAATAACAAAGTTTGTAAATTACCTGCTTTCCCTGGAGATTTCCTTTTCCTACCTAGATACTTGAGCTTTTGTAAAAGAAATGTGCCAATATGGATAAATTCTAAGTACAGGTATTTCTAAAAGCATAATTCTAGCTATTTTCTAGCTCCTACCTTCCTGATACATTTAAATGTCCATTGGCCAAAAGCAAAGCTGAACATAGGCCTGTAAATTCTTTATAGAATATTTCAATGAAACAAAGAAATACAATATTTAACGTCATGATCCATGACATCATACCCCTTAGCCATCCAGCATATGAAATGTTACTGAGGCCCTTGCCCAGTGGCTTATTTCACTGATTTTTATGGCTCTTTTTCCTGGAAAGGGTTCTCAGATCCAAATGCATCATATGGTTGGGGGGATAGAATCAGATTCTATTCTATTCTGCAGATAGGAACAGATTCCACAGGTTAAGTGTTCAGTCCTTCTCCCAGCCTCCCCAGCCCCCATACACTTCAGATACTTGTTGCAAGTCAAGGTTGTTACCTGTGTCTCTGACCAACTGGCTACAAATTAGAGGTTCCAAGGACCCCTACCTTGGGTTCTATTAATTTCCTAAAAGGACTCACAGAACTCAGGGAAACCTGTTTACTCATTAGATTACCAATTTGTTACAAAGATTATTAAAGGATAAGAATCAACAGCCTGATGAAGTGATGCACAGGGAGAGGTCACAAAGGAGCCTTCTGTCCTCATGGAGCTTGAGCCCAGAGCTGGGGCAGGTTGGAAGGCTTCTAGAAGCTCTCCGAACCCCCTTCTTGTGGTTTTTATTACTTTTATTTTTATTTTTAATCCTCATCTAAGGATACATTTATTGATATTAGAGAGAAAGAGGAAGAGAGAGAGAGAGAGAAACATCAATATAAAAGAGATACCTCAATCAGTTGCCTTCCATAAGCACCCAGGGATCAAACCTGCAACTCTAGGTATGTGCCCTGACCAGGTATTGAACCCACAACCTTTTGCTCATGGGACAATGCTCTGAACAACTGAACCACCCAGCCAGAGCCTTGGGGATTTTTATGGAGACCTCATTATTGGTAAGATTGATTTATTCATTGGTTATGGGTGATTGATTCAACCTCTAGCTGCTCTCACCTCCCCAGAAAATAGCAGTGGGAGTGAAAGTTTTAACCCTGTATTCTGGGTTGGTTCATGGCAACCAGCACTCTTCTTTAGGTGCTTTGCAAAAGTCACATTCATTAACATAAACCCAGTTATGGTGGAAAGGGCTTGTGATGATAACAAGACACCCTTTCATCTTTATGTCTCTGTTTTCAGGAACTGAGGATAAGGGACCAAATTTATAATAAAAGATGCATCATTAATCTTCCAGGAAATTCCAAAGGTTTGGGAGGTATGAGCCAGGAACTGTGGATGAAGACCAAATATGTCTGGGGTATATACTTTGGACATCTGAATAACCAAATATATATATGTGATATCATGATATCACATTTCCCAAATACTGCTCTCCATCTATGAACTTTCTCCCTTAAAAAGTGCATTCAGGAATGCATAATGAGTAAATAGAAAAAATATGGTTACAGAGGTTGTATCCTGTAGCTCTATTGGGTTCGCATTGTGAAGTAAACAGCACAGGTCTTACTTTTCAAATGAAATGTATTACTCTTCTATAATCAAGAAATTCTCTGAAGTAGACTACACTTCAACTGCCTCCCAATTCAGCGTATTTCTTGTGCCATGAGCCTGTCTCAATGGTACTTTCTTAAATATTTCCTATTTTAACTCTGATACAGGAAAAAAAAAAAAACAAGGAAAGTATGGTATGGTAAATTTCTTACACATGTTTAAAGGAGGATTTATATATTCAGCTCTATTTTTGTCCTATTAATTACTTTATTAATGTGATACGTTTATAGTATGGAGATAGATATAGATATAGATATATAGCTATATAATGGCACTAACAGGCTACATTTTATTCTTAACTTGTCACGTATACAGTGTTGATGTTTACAGCAGATTTAAATTAGAAATAGAAAATACAGAACATATAATTAGTACAAAATTACAAGACCCAAAGGTAAAAACTAGATCTTCCTCCCATCCCAGTCCACCAGCTACCTGATATCCTCTCAGAAGACAACCACGATTACAGTTTCTTATTTATCTTTCCAGGGATATTCTATGTATACTGTAAGCAAATATGTATTTTATACACTCAACAGACTCAAAAAGAGTCTGGAGGCTTCGCTAGATAAAAAAAAATGGCAAAGATTTATTAGAGTTTGCAAACTGGAAACACAGCTAGACAAAAACCCAGAAGTATTCCAAAGAAGAAAAGTTAAGAGTTCTCATAGTAAAAATCATGCCCCTGAGAATAATTGGTCCTGCATCCTTAGCCGTAGGATTGGTCCAGGGCGGTTATCAGCCGGATGTCAGAGGTCTCGATGATGGATGCCAGGGAGTCTGCAGGATGGGCACCCAGGGGCCTGGGCACATCCTGAGTCCTTTAGGGGTTAGTTAGAGAGTTATTCGAAGGTAAATAAATGTCTGGGCATTGACATAGGACTGGGAAGTTCAAAAGTTTAAGTTCCCAGGCTAATTAAGAAAAAGAATTGTTTCCTTATGCCTCAACCTTCATAATGTTAACAATTCAGCAGTTTGGTTAAAGTGACTCCATTTTGCATTTTTTCCCTACCTCCACATATATGTGCATCTTTTTTACATAGTTGTATACGATGCACATGCTTCTTCACATCGCTTCTCGTTTATATCACAGTATGTTTTATTGATATATACAATCCTGAAAACCTGGGACATGTAGTGGTGGCATTACCAATTTCTAAGAGGCATAAGGTGTCAGTACAGAGTAGGTAGAAAATTCTAACATCTTTATTTTTATCCATGATTGTCAAATTGAGGCCCTTCTATGTACTAAATACTATATTCTTCTATATTTTGCATTTTATTTGTTTAACTCAGTAACACCTCATATAGTTGTCCTCAACTCCAGAAAGAGACTGCTATATCTAATTCTCTCCACAAATTACATGTTTCTACCATTGGGTATTCCCTTCTATAACTATATTCCTATAGCAGTAAGACTAGAAAAAATTATAGATACAGATTTATATATTTGGCATACTGCAGAACTAGTTACATGAAGAAAGAAGATAAAACTTTAAACCTTTATATTTTGGAAACAACATTTGCCATGTAATAGGAATTGCATTCTTCAAACTAGAGAGTCTTTTAGGGTTAAACCCAAACATAGCTACATCCATACTTGGAAGCAGTTTGACAACTCAAGGCTGAAATTCCCACACTGTGCTTGTTGTCAGTCCGTTGTTTTCCTGCCTAGTAGGTTCTGGAAGCGAATATTCTACCACTCTGTGCAGCTGATGCTGAATGCTGTGTCCTCTGAACTGAGGTCGGCCAGGGTCACCAATCAATACTTGAGTTCTGTGTGTCCAACAGCAGTCCTTCAGCCATCGATGAAGACTGTCTGCAAGGTCTTCATCATAAAACATATCTCCAAGCACAATAAGGTCCCATTTATCTTGTTCCAAATCCAAAATGTTTTTGGTTAAAATAGGGAAAGGATTCAGTTGGTTCAATTCACAATTTAGTGTGATAGCTATTCCTGCAACTTTTAAAAAAAAAGCACATGATGAACTGGTATATACCAGGCTGTTTTAATTCCCTATTGATTAAGTTGAGTATTTTCAATAATTTAGAAAATCTCGTAACAACATTTCTTCCCTTTTTTGTTGAAGGATATTTTTAGGTAAGGAAACATAAAGTTTATGCCAATGTAAGCCATTTACTGAGATATTCAAATATATGAATGGATATCCCAAATACAAAACAAACAATACAATATACCTGGAAGTGTTGGGGTTATAAGGAACATTTGCTGCTCTCAATAACCGCAAGGTTTGGTTTGGTTCGTTACAGGAGACAGGGAAACGAGCCTTGTGCTTGAACGAAGTGGTAAGTTAAACTCAGCCCCCTGTATAAGGATCTTCAAGGACCAGGTCTTTAGTGAAAGGGAGGACTGGGAGGAAATCAGATAAAATTGAAACTTACCTGTCTCAGCTTGGGTTCTAATGGAAAAAAATCGCTCTCAAAGACACAGACCCACCCTCACTTGGGTTTGGGATCAAATAAATATACTATATATTTCTTTTTTTTTCATTGTTTAAATACTTTTGTTTCCATTTACCCACCACCACTTTCCCCTGCCCCAACCACCCCCACAACACCAATATATTTCAATAAATTCCTATCCCAGGAAATAAGATGAAATATTCTCAGGTTGCTATCACTTTGAGATATCTCACACACAAATACAAATCCTCCTGGGGAAAAATGCACTGTCAATTTACGCCTCACAGAATTCCCACAGATAATGTTCCACTGACCATAAGTTCACAATATCATATCATAAAATGCACATGGGTATAAGCTATCATGTTGAGGTATCTGTAGATATTTATCCTGGAAGGGAAAAAAGGATGAGCGCTACATATTTTTAAATGTGAAATCCTTACTAGGGTCTATGTCGTTGGCCAAGATCCTGGATGCCCCACTCATCTTAGCAGCGATAGCTGTAGCTCCACATCCACTCCCCAGATCTAACACAGACTTTCCTCTGACAACATCAGGATTATCCAAAAGATACCTAAATGCAAAAGAGGGGGAAAACATTTTCTAAGACATAGGAGAAGCTCAGTAAGAACTGTCCAAAAAAATAATTTCTTTGGGTTCAGTGGACAAAGAATAGGGAAACTTAGCAGAAGAACTTGGTCCAACCTTGGCAAGTTCGGCCTGACTAGGGTGAGACAAAACGCTGACCGTAAGAGCTGGGCAATGGTGGCAGACAGAGGCCCTAGTTGTTTGACTTCTCTTCAGCAGCTGTGCAGAGCAGTTCCACAGCATGGACTAATCAGGCTCTTCAAGCTACTATTTAAAAGTATTGAGCACTTACTGTGATCCAGAAAGTACCAAGAACTAAGAATACAGGCTGACACAACACTGCTATAGTCCAGACTCAGTACACTAGATCCAAAATCCACGATCTCCCTTTTTTTTTCTTTTAATCCTTACCCAAGGATATATTCTTATTGATTTTAGAGAGAGAGGAAGAAACATTGATGTGATAGAGAAGCATTGATCAGCTGCTTCCCATTTGGACCCCAACCTGGGATCAAACCCACCCACAACCTAGGTATGTGCCCTGACCGGAGATGGAACCCACAACCTTTCTGGTACAGGATGATGCTCCTGCCAAGCCAGGGCCCACCATCTCCTTTTGATTGTTCATCGGAGTAACCTTATCTACTGCTTGAATTGTCTTATAATGACCTCTCTAGGAAGGTACCATCAAAGTCCAGTTCAATCAAAGAATTTAGAGCGTGGCTAAGTAGTTACCAAACAAGTGAAGACGAGTGGGGAAACAATGAAATAATGAATTTCACCTGACACTTGATCTTAGTAGTGGAATAATAAATAGCAGGGACCAGAGCTAAGTAGTGGTACCCGTGCCATGCCTAAAGGGACAGCTGCTGCCCATCTTCAGCTAATTGTTGCCACCCAGAAACCCCATGTTATCAGAGATTATTCCTGTTTCTCAAATCAATGTATATTTTTGTTAGCAACTGATTTTTTTTAAAGTTTTCGAGCGTGGTGAGACACCGGAGCTGGTGTATGGAAAGTAAGAATATGCAGATTAGGGCCTGCTAAATGAGGAGGCACAACCCCCCCCACCCCGCCCCCGCACCAGGGCAGCAAGGTGGCTAGCTCCCTCTGCCTGCAGCTTCCGCTTCAGGAAGGTGAAAACCGTGGGGCATTCTGATGGAAGGCTCAGTTTCAAAACACCCACAAAGGAAATAGAATCACAAGATTGACTACTTCCAGATGCCAGAAGCAAAGGGGCACAATGAGCTGGGGGAAGGGCAGTCCTCTGTCTCTGGTGACTTGGGGCAGAGGTCACTAACTTTTTGAGGGCTTAACTCTAAGTGGTTATTTTTAAAGGTGCCCTGGGAAAGGCAAAGCAGAAACTTTTAACAAGCATCCTAAACTCCTGTCCTTATAAAAATGCCCAGACTCAGAGTTTAAGCAGGGTTATCACACTGTAAAATGCCTAGGCAGCAACTCTTTTTTTTCACAATAAGTAAAAGCCAAACAACATACATCTGTGGGTCACCAGTTTGTATTCCCTGATTCAGACAGTCTCTTAAGAAATTTGATTGTATATTTGGAGTTGGTAAACAATAACTTTAATAGAAAACAGTCATTTACAATGTCAGTACTTTTTAAATATGATGTGAGCAGTAAAGCTTGAAAATTTGGCAACACAACAGTCAGAAAATTGATATTGTTTGATACCACCTGAAAAGCTTCCCAGTATTCTCCAAAAAGTTCTATGTTTGCATTTATTTGGCACGTAAAATTGTACAGCCCCAGTCGGTGTGGCTCAGCTGGTTGGAGCCATTGTTCTGTACACCAAAAGGTTGCAGGTTCGATCCCCGGTCGGAGTGCATATGGGAGGCAACCAATCAATATTTATCTCTCTCTCTCTTCCCCTCTCCTCCACTTTTCTCTCAAATCAAATCAGTATTTTTAAATTTTTATATTATATACAGCATTAATTCCTGTGAAAGAGAAGTCCTTATTCTTTTTGTTTCACAGTCTTGTCACCTTATAACTATCTCCAGCCTTGACAGCTGACCCTAGGATTTCTCTTGAAGAAAGATCTGTATTGAGGGAAATAGTTTGATAAGCTTGGAATAGAAGGTAAACTTCTGTAACAAAGCAAACCAAAAAAGAAAAAAAGAAAGAAAAATGCGTAACTGCTCTAAATTAAGAAAACAAGAGGATTATTGTTTTTTCTCTGTTTCTTTGTTGAGGGGCAGGGAGAATGCAGAGTTGGAAGGGGCTGAAAAGAGAAAAGGACTATCCTTAAAGGTTCCCATTTCAGTTAGGGTAGTACCTAGACAGGGCCTGGCCTCCTGGCCAGTAGATCGCCCAGTAAGGATCACTGTGGGGCCACAGATCAGCTCTTTCCCACCAGAACTTGCATCTGGGGGTCAAAAGCCGCAACTGGATTTCGGGGGTGAGACTGCCACTGCTGGTGACTTCTGTGTTCTCCTCCAGGAACGCTTTCATCTCAGGGTCCAAAGAGCTTCCAGTGCCTCTCCAGGGGCAGTGGCCCCGGGGAAACAAGGAAAAACCACTGCTTCTCGTGGCCTTCAGAAAGACACGACAGCGGGTCCCTGGAAACAGTGCAAATGCTCTCCAACCTGAACTCAAAGCCATCACGCCTTTCCCAAAACACAGGTTGTCACTGCTGTTGGTAAGAGCGGCTCCTGATGGGCGAAGTGTAAGGATCTGTCTGCCAACTTGATCTCAAGTGGGATCTCTAAATTTCTAAAAACAGAAACAATGCTGAAAATTCCAAGGCTCACGACATTTCCAAATCCTATTACATAGTAAGAAAATATTACAGTGTAAGCTCTGTAACAGATGATCCACAAGTACAAGTACATTTTAGATAAAAGCTTTGGTGCATCAATTTAGGAAAATCCAATCTTTTAAAAGCATGCCTTTTCACAACTAAATCCTTTTAATAATTTCAAACAACAGGTATACAAGCATTTGATTTTGAGAAAAACAATGCTTGTTATATAAAATAAGGTATACCCTTAAGGTTCTTTTATACATTTAATCACTTACCTTTAAGCAGGCACAATGCTTGGCAACTGTGAACAAAACAAAAGTTTAGGAAGCTTAGAATCTAGTGCTGGGATAGAGCAATTAACAAATGCAGTTTTTGCTTTTGTGAAGTCTAACCAAGAGTTGTGGAGGCTAACAAACCATAATTTTCTGTAGGCAGACGTATACAGATTACACTGACTACACTCCATTTCAATAATGATTGTGATAGCATAAAACATCTATTAAACAAGATTCCAATTTTTCCCTTAAAAAAAAGCTTTGTGGATTTCATTGTAATAACAGAATATCAACTCCCAAATCTCTTTCCATAAATATATGTGATGATTCATCTGAGTTGAAAACACTTGTTCTAAAAGAAAAACATCTCGGAAAGAAAAAGTAGGAATGGGAAACAGCAGTTTAAACACAAATTATACACACAGTTGTTTGGGACCTCTGGTCTGTTCTGCCTAAATTTTAAACAATATTATACCCACTTCGGTGTTTAGAGTAGGGGCCCACAACTCAAATGCCTACCATGAGCCAGACTGCTGATGATACATGAGTGATGCAGGCTCACTGTAGGATGGCAGGCAAAGTGCAGACTGCCGCCAAACCCGGACCCAAAGAGAGCAGCAAAAGCTGCCAGGCAGGGAGCCTAGTCAGATCTTCTAATTTTCAAAATGATCCACATACTCATGCATAAGCTCCCACTTTTCAACTTTGGCTATTAATTAAACTATCAAAACACTGGGCAGGCCCACGCATATGTGGTTCAGTTGGTTGGACGTCCTCTGCAAACCTGAAGGTCACTGTTTCAATTCCTGGTCAGGGCACATGCCTGGATGCAGGTTCCGCCCCAGTGGGTAGGTGAGGCAATGGATCAATGTTTCTCTCTCATATCATGTTACTCTCCCTGTCTTTCTCTCTTTCTCTTTCTCCTCTCTCTCTCTTAGACACCTGGGCAGGACACAATGCCTGTCAGGCCACCTCAGTGGGTGTTAGTTATCTCATGTCTATGCCCTGGGAGTACACCGGAGTCTCTAACGACCCTGACATCCCATTGAACTAATTGTTAGATGATTGTGTTTTGGGATGTCATGTCATTTAGATGGACCTCTGCCCCTCTCACCCAGCACCAATCGGTTATGAATATGTGCTTATGTGGAGGACACTTAGTAGAGGTATTAACTGATCAGGAAATACGGCGGGTTAAAGTGGGTAACTTCCAAAAAATGTTTGTGACATGTACTTCCCTACAAGGAGGACAGGACCCGATTTTAAAAGGACAGGTACAGCCTTCCTTTTCGCCTTACCTGGCTTTGCTAACGCCGCCCTGGAAGGCTAAAGCACAGGGCACGTCTGTCATTCGCCCGTGCACATCATTTCGCGAGGGGTTTTTTTGTTTGTTTGTTTTTTGTTGTTTTTTTTTTTTTTTTACACAGCTGTGCCTGGGGCCTCTGGCTGGTGCAGAGCGGAGCCGGGCTGCAGGACTCCCGCGGCGGCAGGCTCCGCCCTCCTTCCCAGCAGCGCTTTCTCCGGCCATTCCTGCACTTTTTTAAAGGGGCAGAAGGGGCGAAACTAGAGTGCGCCCCGACCTCGCTCCGTAAGGTCAAGTTCAGGTTTCTAAAATGCTCATTATGAAACCATTTATGACACTTGGTGCCAATCACCCTTCTAAGCACTAGGAATAGAGTGGTTTGCAACATAGAGTATGCACTCTATGATGCTTACACTGAACTGCAATTAAATCATAATGTACACCTCTCTTTTTTAATTAATGTTAATAAATGTAAAATCTAAATCTATTTGCAACTTAAATCAGTCAAGTTCTGGACCAAGATGTCCATCTTGCAACTGGACTCAGATATCCCTCTGGCCCCTCAACATATTCCAAAATTAACTCATCATCTCACCTGAAAATGGTTGAAACCTGCTCCACAGGTGCCAAAAGAAAAAATAAAATTGTCCCCAACCAAGAACCAGGCAAACCATGATTTTGCTCCTAACATGGTAGTTTACCAGCCAGCCGCCTGTTCAAAATTAAAGCTTGACGCTTGGGTTCTCTGCTTCTGCCTTCTTTAGAAAGAGGGTTTCTGCTTTCTCTGTAAACTGAAACCCGGTAAACGGGAATGAAACTGTTATTCCTATGAGGAGTGCAAAATGCATCCTCATCATTGGCTTCTTAGATGAATATGGCATATTTATTTCTGATAGGATACACGCCTGGCATTTTATAGTATTCTGCTCTCCATTTCCTCTATAATTACTAGTATGGTGTTTTTATGCCTGTGAATAAAACTGTAGTCATTAATTTACTAGCTGCTTTTTTTGTTAGCTACTGATGTAAACCTTTGTCTTCTCAACTATAACTCTTCACTTCCATACACGCACCAATTCTCTTGAAAACAATAAACTGTAAAACATGTTCAAGATCAATTTGTCTAAAAATTGTTTTTAACCAGGTTGTGTTCTATCCCAGCAAATGGCAAGAACAATAGCAAGAATGACTGGGAAATCATTGCCCAAGAAACCAGAAAGAGGAGGCAGGTCTGACATTTCTACAAAACAGGGTTTCCAGTAAAAAATTTTGATGATCGTCACTAAAAATGAATTTAATAATGTAAAGACACCTTATCCACAGCTTGGAACGAGGCTAAAGAGACCGCTGGATGTCCTTTCCCCTCCTTTCTAATTCAGAGGGTAGCTTTGAGCCACTCCTTTCCAACCCCTCCACGGCCCATTGCCTTATTTCTGCCTCATGAAAGCTTGCCAGAGTTCCTCTAACTAGGCTCTCTCTCTAATCCTGCCTTCTTCTAACCCTTTCTTTATATTGAGGCTCAAATGGTCTTCTCTGAAATTTATTTTCTTATAGTTCAGAAAAGGCCTTACATTCCTACAGTCCCAGATAGGCCAGAAAAACAGACACCTCCGTTTTCTGTTTGTTGTTTGGTGTTAAACATGTTGCTGTTTTTTAATTGAAAGAAATTTTTAATTGCTTTTATTAAATATGACCTAAACGCAATCAAGCAGACTTATCTGATAACAATTTGACCTCTCCCTGACCCTGTGGTTGCAGAAGCCCAGAGTGAATCTCCCCAAGGTGTGCCTCTGTGCTGTGCAGATTGTTCTGAGCTAAAGGCAATGCCAGCCACAGGCTCAAGAGAAACCTCTTAACTACTTAGAAGAATTTGAATTAGAGGGCTTGTCCATAAGAGATTATCAGAGATAACTTCTTTTGACCTATCTGTAGGACAGGCAAACTTATTTACTAAAGTTCTGCTGTTCTTATCCTGCGTGACCTTTTGAAGCCCCCAAGGTCCCTCACCTCATCCCTAGCTCGGGATGTCTTACATGGCCATGTTTCCTTTCTATCTCTGAACCTCCCATGCATGTTGGGTTTCTGACTCTGTTATATATGCAAAATTCCCATTCTTTTGTATGTATTAGATTTGGTTATTCTCTCTTGCTAACCTGTCTCATGTCCATTTGGTTATTAGACCAACCAGAAGAACCTTGAGGGGAAAGGAAAGTATGTTCCCCCCACCCCACTCACATGATTTTTGCCTTTAAATATCAGCCCATATTTTTGTTCAGAGAGCCAGTTCTTTAAAAACAGATCTCTCTTGCAAGTGCAAGTAAAAAGATTTTTATTCCATACTCAAATTTGTCTTTAAAAGTTTTCTTTAAAATGTTTATTAGCTCTAAGACCTCAGGTACATTATTAAACCTTCCTACTTGGGCATAAGAATTATTTTGAACTGAAGGAAGCCGAGTTCCTGAAATCCCTCATCTGCCTAAAGCAGGGTCTCCCAAAAGAACCCAGTTGTCATAATCCCCCTTTCCAGGAGCAAGTCTTATCTTCTTGACTTGAAGGGTAGACACCACACCCAAACAGACATCTTCAGAAGACTGTCTGCCACCTAAAAGAGAATTTATCTTTTTCTCCATTTATCTTCCCAAAATGTCATCCCCATAAGTGCCCTTTCTCCCCTTCCCCATTACCTACTAAGTTAGGTGTATAAGCCCCAGATTCTAACCACCCCTTTGAGTTACTCATCACTAAATTTTCCTGCATGTATATGTGTTGTATGTGTGAATTTTGTTTTTTTCCTTCATTGATCTGTCTTTTGTCAGTGTAATTCACATATCCCAGACACCGAGCACATGAGGGTAGAAAGAACTTTTTCTTCCCCTACAATAAGTAGTTTTCTTGTCCGTAAAATGTTGATGATAATAATAATAATCTATTGGAGAATTTGATAAGACAAAAGTAAAGTGCTTAGCACAAGTTAATGGCATATAGTAAATGCTTCATAAGTGCACTATTACCTGGATTATTGTTATTGGAAATACGGAGATAGTGTTGGTTAAGGAGCAATACTGGAGGCTGGAGATCAGGTTTTGAGCTAAGAGGATCAGATCTGAGTTTTAGAAAAATATTTTAAGCTGCAGGTGGCAAGCACTTTAGAGAGAGGCAGCACTGAAGACAGGGAGACCACAAGTTTGAGGAAGTCATGATAATCCAAGCAATAACGAGGACTGGAACTAAGGCAATTGCAGCAGGGATGGAAAGAATTGGACACCTCTGAAAATGATCCAGGAGAAGCTATCAGCAAGAATTGGAGACTGACTGAATATGCTTGCTTAACCATAACAATAGGCTACCTAAGGGCAATATTTCAGTTTTTATTTCTCAACTTAACCTCCCTGTGCCCTTAATCGCCATGCTATCTGATCATGTTCTCCCTTTTGCTTAAAATCCTCTCTGGCTCCCCAGACCTTCAATACCAAAGCCA